AGCAGCTATGCCAATAGGAAAGAGGAAAAAAGTGGCTCTATTCCCCACTAGCCCACAGGGACCCCCGGTTATATCAGACACCATCACCCACCCACCCACTACATACGTTTCTGTAGGCAAGGCCAGGCATAATTAGTGCATATTAACTTGGCCAATTATCTACCCATCAGTCCTAGTCAGTGAAACCCCACAAGAGACAGGATTTCTCTCTCAAGTGAGCTCCTAACGCCGCAGAATATTGTGTGTTTATCAATAGTACATCCACAATCGCTGTGAAAGTCCTCTGGTAACCGGAGGGATTTACCACCAAACCACAGAAAATTGCTTAAGAGATCTGGACTGGAGTACATCTGTGGCAAGCCCAGCCACTTTCTAAACTCGCCTTCCATAGTAAATACCGCCCCCCCCCCAGTTTAGCCAGAATCACAATGTAGCGCTTCTCCCTTTACTGCCTCCTTTCTCACCGCCCCCACCAAAGACATCCTTCACCTGCCTGCCTTATTATCATATCTCCATGTTAATACACCATGTTGATCTGCAATGTCAGCTCGTATAATGAAAATTAAATAGGATCCCTTCGATTTGCAATGGTTAGAAGAAGACACACACACACACACACACACACAAAATTGGGCACCAAACTCCTTAGGCTGCCTTGCAACTTGCCGCGCTTGCACAGTTTGGGCAATAAAGCAGTAGAACATCATACACTGCAGGGGCTTTCTTCGGAGATTTCTTTGCTAGTGAACACTTACAAACCCTGCAGACCCCGACATGTAGGCATCTGCAACATCCTTGGCTTGCACTTTACCAACCATAACAGTAGCCCAAGTTATTAGTTGTCGTCCCCTACCCTCACCCCTCCTTCCCGCACCAAATCAGTTCTTATAATTTATCCAGGTTTTATTAAAAGAGGAGAAAGCGATGACGAACATTAGCGGGGGCATGTTTTCTTTCCCAAATAAATAATAATAATAATAAAATATCAAATGCACTCACTGTATTTCAGATTGCACAGAAGACTATCCAGATGGAAATCCGAGTGATTAAAGGGTAGGGGGAAGGTGGGGGAAGGAAAGCAAAGGGTGGTAAACTATTTCATGTCAGCAGCAAAGCCAAAATTAAAAAGAAGGAATGAAATTTAAAAAGACAAAATATCCAACTGCAATTTGCCATCAATTTCAGTTAACAGGCTGCAATCCAACACAATCTAGTGATTTTTTTCCTCCTTCACCGGATTCTTCTTCTTTTCCTCTCCACCCACCCCCTTTTTTTCCGTCGCTCTTAACTTTTCTGCTTAAATTCGTCGTAGTTATATCATTACATTCCTCTTCTCTTGGGGGAGCTTTATTTTAACTAAACATTAAAAGAAAACCTCAGAGCAAGAATGGTCCTTCTCCTTTCTGAAACTTTTCATTCCAGTGTAGATCCTTTGCCCAGTTTCCTTTCTCGGAGGATTTTTGCCTTTCTGGCTCCTCCGTTCTCCATTGCCAACTCTGGTGGGCTTTTTTTTCTCCTTTGGAGGATAAGAAGGGCTCCTTGATTTTAAACAACCCTCTATCTGAGACCGTTTGCTTTTAATGCATTTGTGTTGTGACTGTTAAGATCCAGATCTTGTCAAGCAATTTTCTTCTTTCCCCTTCTTTGCTGCACTATCAATTATCCAATCCATGTGTTTCCACGTTAGATCGGGGGTTCCCATTCTTCTGTTTCCCGTTTTCCTCCACACACACCTTTACCAGAGTCTCCTCTTACATTTAGAATTGGGTTTTTTTTTTGTGTGAAAAACTTTTGGTCTCTTTCTCTCTTCCCTCTCCAAAGATCTGATTAGATTTCCAATCACAACCCAGTGCGCAATTGGATTTTTGATTTGAGCAAGAAGCCAGCCATCCACAGCATCACCACCATCTCCTCTCTTCAAATTCCACGTTATATCCTTTTGCCTTCCCTCCAACTCCTCTGCATTTTCATAATCTCACATTAAATGGAAATAGGTTGAGAGGAGGAGGGAGGAGAGGAAAATTCAAGGTTCCCACCAGCTGTCAAGAATACATCCATCCCTTATTTAATTTTTTTACACATGTGGGGTGAGTGTTTTTGACACTCCCTCCTCTCTTTGCCCCCACTTCTCAAAATCGTCCTGACGTTAAAAGTCCCCTGATGGGGCACAAACACTGCCCGGAAAGGCGTGATTTGTCCTCTTAACTCTGAATTTCATAATCACGGGCTCCCCTTTCTCTTCATTTCGGCTTCCTCTTCATCTTTTGTCCAGAAACAATAAAGATCCAGCAGTACCGAGACGGGTAAACTTCTATTTCTTCTTGGGAGAGAGAGAGAAACACAGGGAGTCCTTCAATTTCTGCTTCCCTTTCCCTCCCCCTATCTATTGCAATTGCAGCTCTGATCTCATTTGCAAGATCAGCCTGGTATATTTCAGATCTACAAGTTGGTATCCCTTTCTGCACAGCAGTGGCTTAGGCTCCCATCTTTTTCCACATTCCTGTTACCTTCCCCCTTTCTCCCTCCCTCCCCTGCAAGATGACACATTCCCAGGAGCGCAGCTGCTTCTTTCATTCCTTATCCCAGAAATGCACAGCAGAAACCTTTCCTCCCTGCCATCAGCTTAAGCCCGAGCTCTCCTTATGCATGTATGTATGTATGTATATGTATTTATATAGATCCAGTTCCAGTCAGTTGCTGCTAGGAGTAGCTTTGCTCGCTCTCTCACTCCCTCCCCACCTTTGCAATGACACCTCAGTATTTCCAAAGGTCCCCGGGTCAGACTTTCTGCCTACACTCGTCCCTTCTCCCGTCTTCAATTCTCTCGTCCACCCCCCTCCCCCCTTCCTTCTTTTCTCTGCTTGTGATCAGTAAAATACAATTACCCAATTACCTCCCATCATCTTAGCACTGATTGGTCAATTGCATTAACACTTGATGTCAAGGAAAAGGGTATTGGAGTGCTTGTGATAGGGCACTGCTGCCACCTGGCTGCCAGTCTGGGAACAGGCACAGTGTTACCTCAAGAAACCTCCAAGTGAGGAAGGAGTAATTGAAAAACAAAGGCTCGTCTTGAGGAAAGGAATGTCAAAACTCATTTTCTTAAAAGCTTGCCTGATTGTGGCAGCACAACAGTGTTCACAGGTACATACCTAGCCACAGAAGGATAGGGAAAGTTAATGATTTTGTATAAAATCACACTTTAGAAACCTGCTATATTTCATTTTACTCCAGTAGCTTTCTCTTTTTGTGAAAACAAAAAAGCAGTCATGTAGCACTTTTGTGGTTTGACATGTATCTGTGAACACAGTAAACATATGTATTTTACATTACACACACCCAAACACATTAATACATACACAACCCATTTTCCACCATACATTGGGGGGGGGGGGGAAGTATCACTCAGTACAAAAACACTTGCACTTTAACATATGGGAGATCTTTAAAGAATCTTATGGTTTCTTGAGATTTGTGAGCAGTTAAGTAGCATGAGAACAATATAATGGCCACGTTTACACTACAAGCATCAAAGCAGCAGCGTTACAATGCCATAGATATATTTCTATAATCCCATAATTAGGTTTATTTTAAAGCATTTTTAAATTAACAATTTACATTTTCACAATTGTGCAAAATAATATGCTTTAAGCATTTTTTGATTTTGACCTATTTAAATTTTCACAACTGAAGAAAACTGTGGGAGATCTGGCAATAATTATTAAATGCCAGTAGACATTGAGATTCAAAAAGTAAAAGCTTTGTCACAGTTACAAGTGTCAACACCACATTTCAGAATATACAATGTATATGTCTCAAATCAAATTCTAATAAGTTCAAAAGCAGTATTTTTCCCCTATTTTGTCTATTCTGTGTTCAATTATTATTGAATATTTTTTTTTTTGCAGTTTGTGTGTGTTTGGTGAAAACGACATTTACTGACATTTACAGATAAAAACTAAATCCTTCCAAGCTTACCCATAATGTAGACACAAACTATGGCAACAGCAGGGTTTGATTTTTTTCATCCCTGTAGGTCCACATAAGCATTCTTTCATCAACCTAACTGGGGAGTAGGTCAGCATAGCTATAGTGCTATCGGAGTGGATTTTTCACTCCCCTAAGTGCAATGGAGATGCCAATCTAAACTTCAGTATGGACCAGGCCAATTACTAGACTCTCAGATTTTCTGGTGTAACTCCAATGGGATAAATCTGACCATAATCAGAAAAAAAAAGTATTTATAGATCCAAACTCTTCCACATGCACCCAAAAAAAGAATGAGCCAGGCTCTTTGAAGTAATTATAGTGGGATTCCATACATCAGTTATTTTTAGCATGCAATTACACAGCTACACCTTCACTTTGCTCTGCACAATAGTAACATATATATTTTAGGTATCCTTACTTAATCTAGCGTTTTGATATAAACTTGGAAAAAGTGAAAATGAAAAAAAATGGAGAATGGAAGTGTTACAGTTACAAGTATGGGACTTGAACATATACAATATCTCAATACATATTAATTTAATTGTCAAGTATATTTTCTGGTTAATTTCAGTACAGTAGCATAGGCCATGGATCTCAGTCTCCAGCTGCACATTACTTCTAGTTGTGTTGACTTGCCCAGAGAACTTATGAAGTAACATTCCATTTAATGTGAATGAGGGGGATCACCTCCTTGCTCTTAATCAAGCATATATTTTAGGGCTTGATTTGCTGTCATTGAAGTCAGCAGCAAATATTCATTGACTTAAATGGGTGAAGGATCAGGACCTAGATCAATAATAAATGTGGTGGTTTTCCAGGCATGCTGCATGCTTTTCAGTAGGGTTTTGTGAAGAGGGCTAAGGGTATGCACCTCGACTGGAGAAGGGATAGAAGGAAACATTTGTAAGTAGCTAGCTGCAAAACCTGACCATTTTTGCTGCTGGACTTCTGATACAATCAAGCATTAGCACTTCCTTAAGACTATTTAAATATAAATACATAAATAATAACATATTTTTCAGAAGAGTAAAATATATCTCAATAAATGTTTACATCAACATTTTAATAACTTTTTCCTATGGCAAAGTTTCAACTACACAGCAAACGACATTGCACACTACTCATTAGTTATTGAGTGTCAGGTTAATATGCAAAGAACCTAGCTAAAAAAAATTGGCTTTGTTTTTATAAGGTGCCTTTATTACTTGCCTACAAAAATTAAGAGTCTATGAACAAATATGAATTCAAATAAATGATCTTTGTAAGTGGTGATGCTCATCACTGACCTTAGGGCAAGGCAATTTCCTTGAGCACTGCGTCTTCAGGGTCCTGAGCAGCAATTGACACCAACTCTTTGGCTGGGCCTGGAGCTGGGAGTCTGTGTTTTGTTACGGCCTCTGCAGGGACCGGCTAAGGGCTTGGGAGCCTCCTCTGGCCCAGGCTAGCACATCATGACGA